TAGCAAGGTCATGATTAAGATCATTGGATACATAGGATATGAGTTGAATTTTTCACAACCCCTTTTATTAAAATCATTTTTTAATTGCATTTTAGGTTTTGGGGTACATGTGAAGAACGTGCAAGATTGTTGCATAGGTACATATGTGGCAGTGTGATTTGCTGCCTTCCTCCCCTTCACCTATATCTGGCATTTCTCCCCGTGCTATCTCTCCCCAACTCCCCACCCCCTACTGTCCCTCCCCTATTTCCCTGCAACAGACCCCAGTGTCTTAAAATATATTATTGACCCTAGTACTCTACAAAGCTTAGTACATTTTTTACTTAAATAAATTCCAAATAGGCTAAAAGCCTACTGACAATATTGACAGTAGCAATGATGATGTAGGTGTCACCTGGGTTAAGTCGTGAGAAAACTCAAACCATAGTGTCACAGATGCTACCCTTTAGCTTTGCGTGCCCAGAATATAATTTAATAACAAAGAGAGTTTTGTTATTAAATTACACAGATCCGTCTTCTGGGGGTGTGTATTTTGACTAAGATCATTTAAGTTTTATATTATTATTGAGAGAAACAGTTTGTCCTGTTAATTTTCTTATTGTGTTTCAAAGTCATTGAGACTAAGAACTTACATTTTAGCACTAAGAACTGTGCCTGGCACCCAATAGGCATTTAATTGATATTTGTTGAATAATGTTAATAATACTCAAGGTCTGTGTTTTGTTCCTGCAGGTTGATCCAAAAGACTACATGTTCAGTGGACTGAAGGATGAAACAGTAGGTCGCTTACCTGGGACAGTAGCAGGACAACAGTTTCTCATTCAAGACTGTGAGAACTGTAACATCTATATTTTTGATCACTCTGCTACAATTACCATTGATGACTGTACTAACTGCATAATTTTTCTGGGACCCGTGAAAGGCAGTGTGTTTTTCCGGAATTGCAGAGATTGCAAGTGCACATTAGCCTGCCAACAATTTCGTGTGCGTGATTGTAGAAAGCTGGAAGTCTTTTTGTGCTGTGCCACTCAACCCATCATTGAGTCGTCCTCAAATATCAAATTTGGCTGTTTTCAATGGTACTATCCTGAATTAGCTTTCCAGTTCAAAGATGCAGGGCTAAGTATCTTCAACAATACATGGAGTAACATTCATGACTTTACACCTGTGTCAGGAGAACTCAACTGGAGCCTTCTTCCAGAAGATGCTGTGGTTCAGGACTATGTTCCTGTACCTACTACTGAAGAGCTGAAAGCTGTTCGTGTTTCCACAGAAGCCAATAGAAGCATTGTTCCAATATCCCGGGGTCATAGACAGAAGAGCAGTGATGAATCATGCTTAGTGGTATTATTTGCTGGTGATTATACTATTGCAAATGCCAGGAAACTAATTGACAAGGTAAGGAGAAAAAGAAAAGAAATTGTCATACACCTAGATTTAAAAATGGACCATTCTGGAGTACTTACATTCTTTTCAAATTGGCTATTTGAAATATAGGCAACTGCCGGGTGCGGTGGCTCATGCCTGTAATGCCAGCACTTTGGGAGGCCAAGGCGGGTGGATCATGAGGTCAGGAGTTCAAGACCAGCCTTGGTCAAGATGGTGAAACCCAATCTCTACGAAAAATACAAAAAATTAGCCGGATGTGGTGCCACATGCCTGTAATCCCAGCTACTCGGGAGGCTGAGGTAGAGAATTGCTTAAACCCAGGAGGCAGAGGTTGCAGTGAGCCAAGATTACGCCACTGCACTCCAGCTTGGTGACAGAGCGAGACTGCATTTCAAAAAAAAGAAAAAGAAAGAAATAAGAAATACAGGCAACCCTCAAGTTATAGTCCTTTGCCTCCACCCCCTGTCCCAATAGATTTGTCTGTAAGTAGATTGCTTGGGCCTTAAAATACTTTCTCAAAGAAACTTAAAAAATTCAATTCAGTAAGCATTAAGCACCTATTTTTTTTTTTTTGAGACAGAATTTTGCTCTTGTCACCCAGGCTGTGCAATGGCATGATCTCAGCTCACTGCAACCTCCGCCTCCTGGGTTCAAGCGATTCTCCCGCCTCAGCCTCCTGAGTAGCTGAGATTACAAGCGTGCACCACCACGCCCAGCTAATTTTTGTATTATTAGTAGAGATGGGGTTTTACCATGTTGGCCAGACTAGTCTTGAACTGCTGACCTCAGGTGATCCGCCTGTCTCGGTCTCCCAAAGTGCTGGGATTACAGGTGTGAACCACCGTTCCCAGCCAGCACCTGTTATGTGCTAGTTACTATTATCATATTTCACTGATGATAGGATGCCTATTTGTTTTCCAAGGTTTTGCTTATGTGGAATGCATCTTACAATTGATAGCAACATAGAAATGACAAACTACAGTATATGCTAGAGATGAAGATAAATACACAAAATTCTTTGCCCTTAAAGGGTTTCCATTATACCAAATGATTTCTGGAGAAGCTCACAAAAGTAGTACTGCTTAGTAAAGCATGACATTTTATAATTATTTAGTGGGGAAATTTCTTTGGAGTTCTAATTGGTTAGGGGGTAGAAAATGCATTTTTGGTGGTGAGGGGATGAAGTCTTGCTCGGTTGTCGGGCTGGAGTGCAGTGGTGCCATCTCGGCTCACTGCAGCCTTCGTCTCCCAGGTTCAAGTGATTCTCCTGCCTCAGCCTCCCAAGTAGCTGGGACTACAGACAAGTGCCACCACACGCAGCTAATTTTTTTGTATTTTCAGTAGAGACAGGGTTTCACCATGTTAGCCAGGATGCCCTTAATCTCTTGACCTTGTGATCTGCCTGCCTTGGGCCTCCCAAAGTGCTGGGATTACAGGCGTGAGCCACTGCGCCTGGCTGAAAATACATTTAGGAATACTACCTTTGAACCCTGCTGTGACTGTGAGAGCAACCTCCACATTATGTTCCTTATTGTCCTGTACTCTATTGCCATAGAAGGGAGCTTTGTGTAGAAGAGTGAGGTGGAAGCTAGGCTGGCAAAGCTTATAGGCTTATGAACAGTGGGTCTTGGTGAGCTCATGAGTAGAGAGGGTTTCTAGGGTAGCAACTTCTGCTTGAAAAATAATTGAAGATATAGAGGTTAGGGGCTCCAGAAGCAGCAGTTCCTTTGTTGGTGGATGTTCCAGTGGGAAGCCAGCAGTAGGATATATTGATTATCCATTAATCAGGTTCCTTCAGAAGGAATCTGTTTGAATTTAAAAATCAAACTTGCAGAAATGGAGAAGTGAATGGAAAAACTCATCAAGTCTCTTTTTATTTTTTTGAGACAGAGTGTAGCTTTGTCTCCCAGGCTGGAGTACAGTGGCAGGATCTCAGCTCACTGCAACCTCTGCCTCCCGAGTTTAAGCGATTCTCCTGCCTCGCCTCCTGGGTAGCTGGGATTACAGATGCTCGCCACCATGCCCGCTAACTTTTGTATTTTTAGTTGAGACAGGGTTTTGCCATGTTGGTCAGGCTGGTCTTAAACTCCTGACCTCAAGCAATCTACCTGCCTTGGCCTCCCAAAGTGCTGGGATTATAGGTGTGAGCCACCACGCTCGGCTGGAAAGCTCATTATGTCTCTTTTTGAATGGATTTTTTTTAAAGTTGGAGCATATCAAAAGGAAAGATTTTATGAAAATATTAAAAATGAATACCTCTTAATAGCTGTACATTCTACAATGTAGAAAACCCATGTAGAAATGTATGAAATCTACAAAGTATATCTGAGGTGTAGTTTTTAAACCAACAGAAGCCAAAGTATAATTTTAAGACTTTTAGATTTTCTTTTTTGTTTATGCCAATGTGATAAAAACATTCTATGAATCTGGTAAGATATAGAAAAAGGTGCTTCTGGCTTTTGAGCTATCTGATCACATGTTAATCCAATATCTGAGAGGTAAATGCTTTTATTATACTGTATGGTGATTTTTTTTTTTTAACTACATACAGTTTTCAAACTATGTAATTATTTAGGTTAAACTCCTTTTTCGTAGGTAATGAGGAATGGACATAAATAATATTTAGCATGTTTAAAGAAAAAAGCCATCAAAACAGTGTTTCTTCATGAGTCATCAAATGTTCTTTAACCTTTTAACCTTTAGTATCTGGTATATGAAATGGCAGTGTTTGTGTGCCCTTGAAAAGAATATGAGGAGGAAGAATGATATCCTTTAGATGCCCTCTGGAATACAATATAAATAATAATCCCAGAGTGATAATAATAACTAACACTTACATAGTGTTTACTGTATGCCAGGCAGTATTGCAAGGAATTTAAATGAATTAACTCAATACTCAAAACAACTCTATGAAATAAGTGCTATTATTCCCCATTTTACAGATATGAAAAATAGACCATAAAGAGAGTAAGTACCTTGCAAAAGGTCATTCAGCTGGTAAACAGCAGAGCCATGATTCCAATCCAGGCAGTCTGGCTGTGTAGGCTACACCTTCACCCTTAAACATGATGCTGTTATGCTGCTTCAGTGATAAAGGAAAGTTGCTGAATGCCTGGTGGAGTAGGAATGTGACTGAAAGCATGTGGACTCAAGGGCCTTCTAGTCTAGAGACTATTTAAAAGGCTACAGTTATCCTATCTCATTCTGGCAGTACAGAATTAAGGAATGAAGAGAACAAACAAAAATAAAAAATAAAATGCCAAGTACATATGAAGAGGGTATCAAAATATGCTGAAAAACAGAAGACTTACATATTATATTGAGAGATTACCTTTTTTAAAAAATGAAATGAGTTCGTAGGGAAATATGTATAGAAACTACTGAATCTTGAGATGAAAAAAATAAAACTTGAGTCTTTCTCATGTCATAATACAAATGTCAGGACAGCTTAGACTGAAACTGTGATTGCCAACTCTATATTTGTTAAACCACAGGAGGATCACAGAATTTTATTTCACATTGTTTTAATACATTAAATAATGAATTTTTTGTGATAAGAAGTATAAAACTTGAGAGAGGGTAGGAAGTCCAAAAAGGCTGGGTAAAGCAGAAAGTACATTCCATAGGGAGCCAAGAGAAGTTACTAGGCTTTGGTTCTCTCACCTAAAAATCAGATTCCTCGACTTCTCTTACCTACATCACAGATATGTACAGGATAAATTAAAGTAAAATAGTTTGAATTGTTTAGGAGTATTTCATCATTTGAAATTGAAGTTGGTAGTTACCACTATTTTCAAGTCTTTAAAAGTAGAAGAATTTTCATGAAAAGGAGTCTCTCCAAATCTGCAGTGAAATATTACAGTATAGTTTGTTATTTAGGTAACAGTATTTTGAAGTAATCATCAAAATCTTATCAGTTTGTGTCTATAAAATTAGAGATGATAAACACTCTAGAAAATAGGTAGAATTATTTCTGTTATTTTTATTTTATAGTCATCTGACAGTGATGTCCATGTAATTCTCTACAATTTTTAAATATATGTTTCTTTTTTTGGAGGCAGCATTGAATGAGGGTTCTGAAATAGGATTTGAGTTTGATCAAATTTAATGGAATGGTATGGAATAATGTAGCCACAGGATGAAATACTGTCAGCCATTAAAACTGATTTCATGTAAAAAATGTCACAAGTGAAAATTTGTAGAATATTATGTAAGTAACTGATTTTTTTTTAAGTAGGTAAGTCTGAAAAGTTATAGATACTAAAATGTTAACAGTCATGCTTATTCTTAGGCAGTTAAGAGCAGGGTTTTCTTTTTTTGCAGTTCTATGGATTTAACAATGAGCATATATTATTTCTGTAATGGGAGAAAAAGAAAACTGGGAGGGTATACCTGTATGGCAGTAGCATCTTTTAGTTGTAGCACCCTGGTTGATATTTCTTTGTTTCTATTTTTTATTTTTCAAATGTTCTGTGTTGAGAATACATGTTACTTTTAATTATTAATCGATGATACACTGGACACGGAAAATGTGGCACATATACACCATGGAGTACTATGCAGCCATAAAAAAATGATGAGTTTGTGTCTTTTGTAGGGACATGGATGAACCTGAAAACCATCATTCTCGGCAAACTGACACAAGAACAGAAAATCAAACAGCACATGTTCTCACTCATAGGAGGGTGATGAACAATGAGAACACATGGACACAGGGAGGGGAGCATCACACACTGGGGTCTGTAGGGGGGAACTAGGGGAGGGCCAGCAGGGGGTGGGAAGTTGGGGAGGGATAACATGGGGAGAAGTGCCAGATATAGGTGATGGAGAGGAAGGCAGCAAACCACATTGCCATGTATGTACCTATGCAACAATCTTGCATGTTCTTCACATGTACCCCAAAACCTAAAATGCAATAAAATATATATTTTAAAAAAACCTAACAAGGTTTGCTAAAAATTAAGTGATTGGAATGACTACATTTTTTTTTTTTTAAGAGACAGGATCTTGCTCTGTTGTCCAGGCTGGAGTGTAGTGGTGAGATCATAGCTCAGTGTAACCTCAAACTCCTGGGCTCAAAGGATCCTCCCACCTCAGCCTCCTGAGTAGCTGGAACTACAGGCACATGCCACCACACCTGGATAATTTTTAAAATTTTTTATAGAGGGGGTCTTGCTATGTTGCCCAGGCTGGCCTCAAACTCCTGGTCTCAAGCGATCCTCCCATGTTGACCTCTCAAAGACCTTGGATAGCAGGTATGAGCCATGATGCTGGGCTGACTTTGCATTTTTAAAAACTACTTTCATAATTACTTTAAAAATTAACACATCCTTGTGGAGAATTATAGAAATAAGAAAGAGTAAAATAAGTTCAAAATGAGTATGTAATTGTACCATACCTTGAATAATCTTTTTAGGAATAATTTTTAAAATTCTACAGCACTACTTATGACTATATATACACTGTTCCTTTTTGTAGCTATCACTGGATGTTAATCCTTACTAACAAAACAGCTTGTCATTTACTAGGTTTGAATCACAGCTCTGTCACGTAATTGTTAAATGTCCTTGGGCAAGTCCTTTAATCACTGTGTGCCTTAGTTTTCACATCTGTACAATAAGGATAATGATACCTACTTCATGGGAGGGTTAAACATGTACATGTAAAGTACATAAAGCTGCCTGCCACATAGTAAGTGCTCGGTAAGTGTGATCTACCGTTATTGTGCTATACTATATACATTTGTATCATGCTTTTTAAAATTAACATTATTGGCCAGGTACAGTGGCTCATGCTTGTAATTCCAGCATCTTGGGTGGCTGAGGCAGGAGGATGGCTTGAGCCCAGGAGTTCAAGATCAGCCTGGCAACATGGCAAGACCCTGTCTCTACAAAAAAAATTTAAAAAGTTAGCCGGGCACGGTGGCATGGGCCTGTAGTTCTAGCTACCTGGGAGGCTGAGGTGGGAGAATCGCTTGAACCCAGGAGTTTGAGGCCGCAGTGAGCTATGATTGCACAACTACATTCCAACCAGGGCAACAGAGTAAGACCCTGTCTCAAAAAAGAAAGAAAAAGAAACTATATAAAATTAACATTATGACATAAGCTTTTCCCCATTTTATTATAACATCTTTGTTGTATTTAATGAGCTATGATAAATGTAATGAACTGTGGCATTTCATCATGTGACTGTACCGTAATTTACTTAACCATTCTCTTCTCATTGGACATTTGCAGTGTCACCAAACTAAAACTTCCATCTGGTAGTAGAAAAATTTTAATCATGTCTTAAACTTGAGATATAATTCATATTTATTTGACTCTTAATCTTAAACTGCAGTACCAAGCCAGAACTACCCATCCAGAAGAAAGAATCTCATGTAGTGAGAACTTATTATAGCAAACACCCTGAATTAGACTTATAATTAAAACAAAAATCAGTGTACTGTTGAGAAATACTAGAATAGGAAATCATTGTTTTAGTCTCAGAAATTCATTTTAAAATCTAAATGAAATTTTATTTTCACAGATGGTTGGTAAAGGCTTTTTTCTAGTTCAGACGAAGGAAGTGTCCATGAAACCTGAGGATGCTGAAAGGGTTTTTCGAGAAAAAGCACCTGACTTCCTTCCTCTTCTGAACAAAGGTACCTTCTGGATGATTGGTATACTTTTGTGATTATTTTCTTTACATGCTGATTTGATTTACTTTTGCCTTTAACATTTCTTTTGCGTTGCCTTCTCTTTCTCATTTGTGCTTTGTTTTTTTTTCTATTATTGTTCAGAAATGTTAAAATTTCACATTTTAACATTCAAGGAGCCCTAGATAACTAACTAGAAATTAGGCATTCCCTTTTTTCCCTATCCTGTGTTCTTAGTACTGAAAGTCACATTTTATTATGTATCTTATTATTGTTTTAATTATTATTGTATTATTGTTTTACCTGTATAGTGTAGTGAGTAAACATTTCATACTTCCTGCTCAGAGTTGCAAAGCACTTGATAAAGATACTATCTACCTTCAGTGTGCTTTAATCATACTGGAAAAGAAATAAGAAATATAAAGTGGTATATTATTTTATGTATTTCATATGATTGATTAACTTCCCTTGTATAATTAGAATTGTTTTCCCTAATGGGTAAATGCCACCAATAAATTTCAGATATTGGATATAGGTCTTCAAAGAGAGGAACTTAAGTACGTGTGCCCACCTGAAGGGTTACTGTCTGCCTACCTGTATTTGAAGGTGTATTGATTCTAGAGGACAGAGTATTCTTTATCTGTTCAGAGTGCGGACATTGTTTGCTGAAGGCTCATCAGGCTTTCCTTGACTGGCCTGAGCAAATATGTGTAGTAATATGCAGTGTTGATTGAGTATACCCTAGAGAGGGGGCACATCTGCATTTTATATGCTCTTTATGTATAAAAATATTATAATAAACTGTGAAAACCTGTATGAAATGTTAGAGGATTGTTAGGATAAGTAATGCTGGTGTAACTCAGCTGGTAAGTATTAATGCAGTATTTGATAATACTTTTGTGGTTACTGTAGTAGTAGTAAGGACTTGCTCCAACCCTCTGCATGAATCTACCCCAGAATATATGTAGGAAATTCTGGCCTGACCCCTTTGATGCAACCATTTTGACATGGGAACATTTGGAAGCTTGAAAATGAACCTTTAACCTCTTAGCAAGCTTTTGGAAATTGAATCAGGTAATAAGTGTATTGGACATCCTAAAGTGTGAGAGTTAGTAATAAAGTGAGCATGTCGGTAGGTCTAAATTAAAGATTTATGTACTTGTGTGATGTTAGTGAAGTAGTATTACAGAATTGCTCCAACCCAAATATAGTATCTGCATTTAAGTAACAGAACATTCCGCATGGAAGAAGTAAAATGTTCTGTTGGTGCAAAAAGTAGAACTAAAGCCAATAAGCAGATGTTGCAGGAATTTCAGCAAATAAACAGTATATAAACAAGTCTTAAACACCAGAGATGCCTGTAGGAGGTATTCAAAGACTGATGAGTTCATAGCAAAAGATAATAGGAGCCAGCTTGAAGGAGTTTCCATGGGCCAAATTTGGGACAATTTAACAATTAAAAAGAATACTGGGACTGGATGTAGTGCCTCAAACCTATAATCCCAGCATTTTGGGAGGGTGAGGTGGAAGGATTGCTTAAGGCCAGGAGTTTGAAACGAACCTAGACAACATAGCAAGACGCTGTCTCTACAGAGAATACAAAAATTAGCTGGGGGTGATGCACATTTGTCATCCCAGCTACTCAGGAGGCTGAGGTGGGAGGGTCACTTGAGCCCAGGAGCTTGAGGCTGCAGTGAGCCATGCTTATGCTGCTGCACTATAGCCTGGGCAACAGAGCAAGAGCATGTCTCAAAAAAAAAGAGAAGAATGAAGGTGATGATTTAACAACAGAAATCTCTGCATCCATATTGTTAAACAAAAAGGGGAGGGAAGAAAGGAATGTTCATCTGCTCTTTACAGAATATTGTGAGCTAAAAAATGCAGAAGGAATGATGGACTTCGGAAATCATCATTTTCCAACGCCAGTGTAATAATGATTTCAGACAAAGATTATCAGTGGGTGGTAAAACTATTGGGGTAAAAGTTGCTAAGAAGTAGGATAATTATACATCCTAATTCAAAGGGGAAGTGTACCTTTACAGCAGAGATGTGGTGATCACCATGTTAACCCAGTGATCAAACAGCATCACTGATAGACACCCTAACATTGTGTTACTCATGATGTGATGCAGTGAAAAATACGCAACATCACCTGTAGAGTGTTCTTGCCCAAGTAACCTGAATCTAATTGAGCCAAGACTTAACTTCCAGTTTGTAGGAAGAATAGAAATATGTTAAATGACACCATAAGGAAATAATAAAACAAATCCAAAATAGAAGACATTCTACAAGACAACTGGCTAGGTCTCTTCAGACAGTGTAATGGAAAACAAAAAAGATAGAGGAATTATTCTGGATTAGGAGACTAAAGAGACATAACAACTAAATGCAATGAGTGAACCTTGATTGGATCTTAGGTTGGGTTGGAGTGAGCTGTAAAAGGCATTTTTGGGACATGTAGTGGAGTTTGAAGATGCGACAGAATTATCATTAATACCCTTTGGTATGATAATGGTGCTGTAGTTATGTAGGAGCTACATGCTGAAGTTTCCTGATGTCTGCTACTTTCAAATGACTCAGCAAAATTAAGCATATATGTGCAGATAGATGGTGTTTATTGTGTAATAAAGCAAATGTGGACAAATGTTAGCTTTTGGTGGTATAGATGAAAGGCAAATGCATATTTACGCTATTCTTTCAACTCTTCTATAATATGTAGAAATTTTCAAAATAATAAGTTGGGGAAAACTTTTAAGCTACTCAGCAGTGGAATAGTGAGTAGACTGGCAGTAGAGATATTCTAGCAGGAGTTGGATGGACTGGGCCCTTATCTAAAAGTGACCATCAGTCATTCTAAGGCAGGGTGTCTCAACCTTGGCACTATAGACATTTTAGGCCAGGTAATTTTTGTTATGAGAGGCTGTCCCGTACCTTACAAGATGTTTAGCAGCATCTCTGGCCTCTACCCATTAGATGCCAATAGAACACCACCCCAGTTGTGGCAACCAAAAATGATTCCAGATGTTGCCAGATGTCCCCAGAGCTATGGGAGGGAGGCAAAATTGCTGCCAGTTGAGAACCACTGTACTGAACTAAGAGTGGTCTTATTTATTTATTTTGAGAATTCACATGTACCTTAAATAATTTGCACCTCAGAGTCTGTCAGTTTTCCTCTTCAGTTGCAATAGTCACATTTATTTTCAATATTTAATAAAGCTATTTGACTGCTTAGTAAGTTAATTCATTGTTTTTCATCATGAGGATCTCCAGATCGACTAATCCTCAGAACTATCCAGGGTGCTTTTAAAAACATAATTTTCAGCCAAACATGGTGGCTCACACCTGTAATTCCAGCACTTTGAAAGGCTGAGGCAGGTGGATTGCTTGATCCTAGGAGTTCAAGACCAGCCTGGACAACATGGCAAAACCCCATCCCTACAGAAATTAGCTGGGAATGGTGGTGTGCGCCTGTAGTCCCAGCTACTTGGAGGCTGAGGTGGGAGGATCACCTGAGCCCAGGGAGGTTGAGGCTGCAGTGACCCATGATCGCACCACTGCACTCCAGCTTGGGCAACAGAGCAAGACCTTGTCTCAAATACATAAATACATAAACAAAATTTCTTTTTTCTTTTTTTTTGAGACAGGGTCTTACTCTGTTGCCCAGGCCGGAGTGCAGTGGTACAATCTTGGCTCATTGTAACCTCTCTCTCCGGGGCTCAAGCAGTCCTCCTGCCTTTGTCTCCTGAGCTCAAGCAATCCTCTTACCTCAGCCTCCCAGGTAGCTGGGACCACAGGCGTGCCCCACCATTCCTGGCTAATTTTTGTATTTTTTGTAGAGACGGCGTTTTGCCATGTTGCCCAGGATGGTCTGGAACTCGTGAGCTCAAGTGAATCCTCCTGCCTCAGCTCCCAAAGTGCTGAGATTACAGCCGTGAACACCGAGCCCAGCCAGTAAACAAGTTTTCTACTCCTACCCCAGAAAGCCTGATTCAAAAATCTTTGAGATGTACCCTTGGAATATTCCTTTTTTGATTAGTCAGACTTGGGTTCTTTTGTTTTAGAGAGTCATTCATTCATTTATTCAACAAAGTTGATGAAGTCTTAGAAGTAGGAGAGAGAGAGAGAGTCAGCTAATGTAGGGCCTTGTAAGCCACTGTAGAGACTTTGGCTTCTGTAGTAGTCTGAGTGAGATGAGATGCTGCTGGACGTTTGTGGGCTTTTTTAAAATAAACTTTTTATATTGGAATGATTTTAGGTTTACAGAAAAATTGCAAAGATAGTACAGAAAGTTTCTGTATATCCCTTACCCAGCTTCCCTAAATGTTAACATAACCATAATACATTTGTCAAAGCTAAGAAATTTACATTGGTAAAATGCTAACTTAAACTACAGACTTTATTCAAATTTTACCAGTTTTTCCACTTATGTCCTTTTTTCAGTTCCAGAATTCAATCCAAGATCCCACATTGCTTTTTGTTGCCATGTCTCCTTAATTTCCTGTGGCAGATGTGACAGTTCTTCAGTCTTTCCTTGTTTTTCATAATCTTAAAACTTTTGAACAGTAGTGGTCAATTATTTTGTAGAATGTTCCTCAATTTATGTTTATCTGACATTTTCCTTTAGTTAGACTAGGGTTATGGGTGTTTAGGAAGAGGCAAAGTGCCCTTCTCATCACATAACATCACAGGGCACATGATGTCAATATGAGGTGGTATCTGCCAGATTTCTCTGCTGTAAAGTTTCCATGTTTCCCTTTCCATACTCCATTCTTTGAAAATGAGTCACTAAGACCAGTACACAATCAAGGAGTGGAGATTTAAGCTCTACCATCCGGAGAGAGGAATATCCACATACATTATTTGGAATTCTGTAAGAAAGATTTGTCCTGGCTGGGTGTGGTGGCTCACGGCTGTAATCCCAGCACTTTGGGGGGCCAAGGTGGGCGGATCATGAGGTCAAGAGATCAAGACCATCCTGGCCAACATGGTGAAACCCCATCTCTACT